TCACCAGTATCTTTCAATTCCCCAGGGCTCTTTTTTTTGATACTCTCACCAAAAATCTGGGGCTTTATTTACACCATCACCCCACTCCCTTGCTGCACCTCTCCTGTAGTGACTCTTCACATCATAGAACAAAGGACAGGGAGAGAAAGGAAGAGAAAAAGCAAAGGGGGTTACCTTGCCCTCATGGGGACACATCTATGGTTAGACCCAAAGTTTCCTTTCTCTCAGAGTTTAAACTCCTTTCAGCCCTTGCTGTTGCTGCCACTACCAACTCGAGATTGTTTGTGGCCTAGAACATGAGAGCAGAGATGGGAGGATAAGAAAAATGGAGCTTTTCTCTCTTCTCTCTGAGTAAGAAATATAGGGCTCCTCCTGGAGCTTTGTCTATTTGCCCTGATACCCACTTCTGCATTTTAGGCTGCATGGAGACCTGTCTGAGGGATTCCAGAGGGAGAAAGAACATGAAGCTCTTAACTGATTTGGTGGCACTTCAAATTCTGGGCTTCTTCCCCAGTTTGCCTGATATTATTTACTTTTCGCCTTCCTCACATAGCTGCTCCATGCAGCCCATCCCTATCCAGGGTCTAGAGTTATATCCAGCAGGAAGGATAGGGTGGAATGTGCTTACTCCATTTTACCTGGAACCAGAACCTGGGATAGCAGAATATTTATAAAAGAAATACTTAGTAATATTTGTTGAATGAGCGAATGAATGAGACATCAAACAATTGGTCTTGACCTCTCCCCTGAGCCCCAGATCTGGATTTCTATAGTCTCTAGGCCTTCTGGAAGGAAGTGTAACTGAATAACTGAATCAACATCTGCATACTTGGCCTTGCCAACTAAGCTTCTTGTCTGCATGCTCACCATGTCCAAATTGAACCCATTCTTCTTCCCCCTAAGACCAACTTCTACTTTCAGTTTCTTGCTTTGCCACCAGTTTCCCATCTGGCATATTTTAACTGCTACTTGTCCCTTCAATGAGTTTCCCAGGCAAATAAACTCTCCTTCTGGTAATATTTCTTCTGTCAGTTCCCACTTTTCCACTCTTACACTTGCCAGCCTGGTTCATATATCTAGACTAATGAGATAGCTGTCTCAACCCCAGGACAAGCCAGGACCATGTTGATGGACAACAGAGGACAAGAAGTGGGGAAGAATCAGGAAAGTGGGGTTATACTCAGCTAGTCTGTTTGTAGGGGAGACAGGGGACAGAGGCTTGGAGCAGAGGAGGAAGCCACTATCACATTTCAGAGGCCAGGGGTTTTTGGAAGACTTACCTCACCTGTCATGTTGAGACCCAGGGACATGCATGTATTAGCACAACAGTAAATACCAAGAATGGGGCTTCTGGTAGGTGGTGTGAGGGGCTGATTGGGTTTCAGTGAACTTGATTCTGGGCCTTCAAGGCTGCTTCTGAGCAGGTGCTGGTAATAGCCACCCAGCTATCCCACATTCTCCTCTCTATACCAGTTGACTATCTGCCAAAAAGCAACCCTGAGCCTGTCACCCCATGTTCAGAGGCCTGGACTGACAATTCTCAGCTGCCTTCCAAGTTCCAAGTCCTCTACCATTACTCCTCCTCCTCCTCTCCCACTCATATCCTCTACTCCAGCTCAACTGGGCTAGTCCTTTCATCCCAAATAGCCCCCACACTCTCTTATCTCCATACCTTTGCTCATCCCATTCCCTCTGCCTGGAAGCACTCCCCCCAAGTCTCTATCAAACGTGTATTCTTCAAGATACCTCTCAGATGCAGCAAATTCTGGGAAAGCCTGTATACTCTCCCCATCTTGGTGACAGGCTAGTACCCTCCTTGAACTCCTTAAACCACCTTAGCCAGTCGTCACTAGTCATAGTAGCTTGTGCCTTGAAGGCAGGTGTAGTGTGACCCTCCTCTGTTTAGCCTCTGCAATCCTTACATGGGTCCTGCTCAGTAATCATTGTTGAGTTAGAGTGAATGGAATCACACTAGGTGATGTGCCATCTCTAGAAGGTCTCTCAGAGAAATGGAGGTAGGAGTGGTGATCGTGATACAAAGGCATTCTTGGGATACCCGCTGTAGAGATGAGGCTTGTTTTGTAAATGGAAGATTCCTTTGTCTGTGACATTGCCTGTTTGTTTTTCACTTCAGTGTTAATACTCTGAAGGGTCAGAAAATAGGAAACAACCCCATTAAGCATGAGATTCTGAGGGCTCTGTCTGCAGTTGACAGCAAGAGTGGAACTGCAAGATAATGGAGGCTGATACCGGTTCCAGCCAATTCTTCTCCCCTTTGCAAAGCGCTGAATGACAAGCAGATTTCTCAGCTCCAAGCAGGCAGTCGCATTCAGATGATGAATGTGTCCCTGGACAGAGGAGCTTGTTGAGTGATATTTACCAGGGTCTCTGTGAAGGGCCCTCAGCCCCCAAGGGAGCATTTCAAGCCTTCAGCTGCTCGCCTGTTCTGCTCGCCTATTCTGCTCGCCTGTTCAGCTGCTGCCCGTGGGGCAGAGAAAGAGGAATTAAACCTCATTCCCTGCTCCCCAGCAGGATGGAAGTCGTGGTGATTTGTTTAGGTGCTCTGATGTTTCCTGGTTTCCTTTGCTTCCTATATTCACCCCTTCCCCCACCTGGTCAAACCCCAGCTGGGAGAGACTTGGATGTGACAGGCTTAGAGCCTTAGAGGGGAGAGGGCAGGAGGGGAAGTCAGTGCCAAAGACCTGGGTTCAGGCCTGGTGCCCTTTGGCCAAGTTCCTTGACTTCTCTAAACCTCAGTCTCCTTAGAAATAAGGTGGAAACAGTAAGAACTATCTCATAGACAATAAAATCAAAATATTTTGCATATTATAAAATGCTCTCCAGGTTAAGTCATTCATTCATTCACCAATTTCTTGTGGCATACTTACTGCATGCCAGGCACTGTGCTGGCTTTGAAGTACCGTTCAGATCGTCTGGGCTGGGAAGAAAAGCAGACTAATGGCTTTACCAGCTGTTAGCATGGTTCTGGGGTAAAGGTGAAAGCTGGCCCAGAAATCATACCTCTGGGCTCTCTTTGAAGACGGCTTCACTTTGACACCTTTAGGGCTTCAGCTCTTGGGAACATTTCCCAGTGACTGGGCCTTTGCATGACCTTCTGTAAAGAATATGGCTGAGTCAGGGCTCTGGTGCCTAATTAGCAGGTGTGTTAGTCTAGGTTCTCCAGAGAAATAGAACCAGTGGGGCACCTGCGTGCATTCACGCACACGCACACACAAACACACACAGGTCTATTAGGGGGAATTGGCTCAGATGGTTATGAAGGCTGAGAAGCCCCAAGATCTGCAGCTGGCATGCTAGGGACCCAGAAGAGCCAATGGTGTAAGTTCCAGGCTGAGTCCAAGTCTGAAGGCAGGAGAAGACTAATGTCCCAGCTTGAAGATAGGTAGAAATGAAATTCTCTCTCATTCAGCCTCTTCCTTCTGTTCAGGCCCTCAGTGGATTGGATGGGGCCCACTCACATTGAGGAGGGCAATTTGCTTTCCTCAGTCTACAGATACAGATAAATTTCAACCTCACACAGCAACACCCTCCAGATATACCCAGAATAAGGTTTGTACAAATGGCTGGCCACCCAGGAAACCCATCAGGTTGGCCCATTGCACCAGGTTTGACATTCACACAAGTTTTTCAGGCAGCTTCTCACACTGTGTCATTTGGCTCCATAACAACCTAGGAAGGGGCTTCTTACCCTTCCTGTTGTGACATTCTGATGTCACAGGTCCACCAGCCTATTTGAAGCAGGTCATGTTCACGTTAAACCCACATCTTGATGTGCCAAGTCTGTTCATTCTGAGTGACAGGAAGGCTGTCCCTCTCCAGATCCCACTTCAGCATTAAGAGGTTTGCGTGTAGAGTCTGTCCTCTTCCTCCAGGGCCCCGGGTGCCCTCCACTCTCCCACATTGGTCCTTAGCAGGAAACTTTAAACTACATGGTTGATGGGGGCTGAGGGCTCTCTGTGGATTGGGTGTCACTCAGCATTTCCATGAAATCCAGTGTAACCATCAAGCTGAAGGAAGGCAGTGCCCAGTGTGAAGTCCCGCTTGTGCCAGCCTCAGGGCAGGGTGAGGTGTGGTGATGACTGGGAGGAGGGTGGGCGGCACCCTCTCAGACCCTTCACCACCACATGGGTCACATTGGGCCACCAGTACTTGGCTTTTACCAGTAACAAGCCTTTTGTCATTTTAATCATGCTGATGAATCAAGGCACTTCTGAGTATTTCTGTTTACTTAAAACCCATTGTAGATGTTCTATTACAGTCTGTCAGAGGGGAAATATGAATTTATTAATTTGAAAATTGTAACATCCTCATGGTGAGCTTGGAAAATAGGCTTCAATCAGCAACACTTCTCAAGCCTATGTTTGAAACAGTGCCCTCTCTGCCTGGCATTGTAGCCACTTGTATGCGCATCTGTCTCCTTGTGTGGAAATTGCCTTTTTAGGCCATGTGTTCCCTAGGCCCGACATGGTGCCTGGGCCATGTTAGGTGCTTAGTTACTGTTTCTGAAATGGACTAGACTGGAACCTGTGCTGGGAAGATTGCATACTGCCACACTCACCCAAACTCTGCTCTGGGAGAGGCACCCAATCACCCCATGAGAGACAGCAAATCGTGCTGCTTGCTCAGCACACAGCTGTTGAGCATCTAACATGTGTCATTATGTTAGATGACGCAGTTATGTTAGATCCCGGGTGCAACAGCAGTTCAGGCACAGCACCAATTCCAGGGAGTTCACAGACACGTGGGGGCAACAACCAGAAACAACCAGCCAGAGTGCAGTTTAAGAAGCACAAGACAGAGGAGGGAAGAGGGCCACAGGGCCACCAAGGAGGGCTCCAGGTTAGGGGGTGACACCAGCCTCGGGGAGGCACTCAGTACCAGGGGTTTGCTGGGTGGGGGATGGCTCAGGCCCTCAGGGCATACTTCCAGAGCCGAGCACTTCCTTTCTAGATTGGCTTACTCTGCAGTTGTCCTTACAGGGCCTGTGCTAGCAGTGAGACCGAGAGTGAAGCTGGAGACATCATGGACCAGCAGTTCGAAGAGATGAACAACAAGCTTAACTCTGTCACTGACCCCACTGGCTTTCTGCGGATGGTTCGCCGCAACAATCTTTTCAACAGGTGCGTGCCAACTCAGCCTCCCAGGCCCGGTTGCAGGATAACATGCTTCCCAAACAGCAGACAGATGCCAGACAGAGCAGTGCCACCTACTTCTGTCAGTAACCTGTGGGCCAAACACCTGAGATTGAGGGAGGCCAGGGAGAGCAGGGATGCCGGCCTTCTTGGAGGGAGGACTTGTCCAGACCCAAGCCCACCCATCTACCCTGAGGCCCAGTCTCCCTATTACTTCAAATAAGCCTTCATGGCTTTAAGATGAGTCACAGTTGAATTACCAACCAGCACACCCCTGTATCTTTTTATCAAGGTTGATAGCTGCACTATATCCAGATAAATGGGAGCAGGCAGTTGAGGTTGAGGAGTACCTGTCCTACTTTCATTTGGTTGCCTAGACACACCTGGGAGTCACATTTTGATAGAACTTTCCAGAAAGACATCTCAGATTCTCAGGTCCTTGACTTGAAAGGTCAGCAGGTCGAGCCTGGAACACAGAAGGGAAGTGACTGTGCACTGGGTGGAGGCAGCCCCTGCCTGGCAAGCCCTGCTGTGTGGGGCATGGTATGCCCTGTCTTCTCCTCCTGCAGGCCCTGGTTTCCTCTCGTTATTGTGCTGTCGGGGTGACAAATGTGTGTTTACTTTCCCAGGGGCAAGCTGAATGGGATGGGAGCCAAGGGCCAGGGGTGTGGGAATTGGCAGCTTCTTTGAAGGAGATTAAAACTTCAGGCTGGTTCATCTCCAGGTCCTCCTTCTTCCCTACCACTTCACACACGTTCTGCACAGCTTTTAGTTTTGTGTGAGGCCATGAGCAGGGGGAGGAGGCACAGGACCAGGCCTGGGATCATGTCCTCTTCACCCAACATCTCGGCCTGTGAAGCAGGTGACTCTTGACTGCCAGGTGATGCCATCATGGTTGGGAACTACAGTGCATAGGACTCAGGTTCTGATTTTGCTGCTTGCCAGCTGTGAGAACACATCAGCCTATTCCTCACTGCTAAGATGAGGACCAGCTTCCTACCTTGCAGTTTTCCCTTAACATGAGTATTAAAGGGGCTTATGTATAAATAACGCACTGACAGGCTTCCTAATGCATAGAAGGCACTGCACACATGGTGGCTTTCTACTATTTTGAGTAAATCGGGAAGCACAGTGCTAAGCTTGAATTCTTCAGATAACATGGGTGGATAACTTGAGAAAGTGTAAAATTTGTATGCAGCAGGTGTTCGCCACCTAGGGAGTGGCCTCACCTGCTCTTCTTCTGATCTCACCTCATGTCTTTCATATGAGAGAGTGCCAGAGACAGGCCATGAGGCCTCCAGGGCCCACCTAATCATAGGCCTGCCAGCAGTCAGGAACCCCTCCTCCAGGGCTCTGGGCATACAGTAAGGAAGGGTCAAACCAGGTATGTTCATCATCCCCAGGTGGGAGGTGGTATGAATTTTGGATCATGAAGCTGCTCATTTTGGGAAAATGGCTTTTGTCCTTTAGATCTGTTTTGATATAGGTCCTGTGAGCACAATACTATGGATTAATTTGTTGGTTCATTTAAACAATGCAATCTCAGCAGAGGACTGGGCCAGCCTCAAGGCTGCGTGGGGAGCCTGAGCCTTGCTGCCCACTGCTCTGTGCTTAGCTCCTTCAGCAGTATCCACAGACACTTCCAATCCTCGTCTTCTAGAGGCTTCTGAGGGCAGACTGTATGAGGAAAACAGCCCGTGTTTCTTCAGCTTCAGCATAGCAAGCCCATAAGGCCTAGGACAGTGTGTCATGCTGAGTGCTCTCTGCTGCTTTCCTAATGAACCCAGAAAGGAGTTTCTGGCTTCCATCCAAGGGGAGCAGAGTTACAGAAGGGACCACAGAGGCAAAGGGTCCTTGTCAGCTAGAACACTGCAGGCCCTTGCAAACTTCCAGTCTAGCCTTGCATTTTAGGGCTGAGGGGCCCACGCAGGCCAAGGGCTGGAGACCCGCATAGGAGCAGGTGCCAAAGCTGATTTCAGGTCATGCCTCCCAGCTGCCCTCCCAGCCTGTGCCTTCCCACATCCCCTCTACCTTGAGGGCTGCCAAGTGTACTGCCCTGCCATGTCCTAGGATCCCAGGCCCCATCTCTGCCCCTTCCACACCCAGCAATCTCATCGAGGAGGTGAGCTGGTTTGCCACTGAACAGCAATGGCTAAGAAGTGACTTTTCTTCAGGCTCCTGATACTAAGGGCTTGCAGAGCACTCGTTCTCTGGAGCTGGCGAAGGTGAAGTGGAGGCAGCCATGTGTGTCAGGTCTGATGCACTGGAGCAGCACCGGCTCCCCTCCCCGGGGCTTTCCAGCAGGGTGATTCATGGATTCTTTGGCCTTTTTGTTCTGGGATGGTTTGCTGGACTGCTTTGGCAATGCGGCTGCCACAGCTTGTGCACGTCAAGTGAGACTTGGCATTGGAGTCTTCTCTCCTGCCGCTCCAGGACTTGCTCTTTATTCTGTTTTTGATTCTTAGGTCTCCACAACCACTAGTTTTCCTTTTGCCTATACATGTTGGTGGAAAACACGTTTACATGAGCACAGGACAGGTGCCACTAATGAGATAAAACAAGGATTCTGCTCTTTTTTAGCACCTTGACCCTGGTGCAGGCCCATATGACAGAGCAGCAGCCCTCAGAGAGGCCTCTGCCCTGCATCCTGCAGAATGCATCAAAGTTGTTCTGGGGGCTAGAAGGCCAGTGTCCATGGTGTGTGTGTGTGTGTGTGTGTGTGTGTGTGTGTGTGTGCATGCACACAGCTGAACCTGGGGGCAGTCATATCATAATTGCTACAAGAAAGAGGAAGAAGAACAGGACAGCTTTTGACTGCATTCTGGATTCAGGGTTCCAGGGTGGCGCTATGGCATTGATGGTGTGCCCATCCAGGATCGGTTAGGACCAGTATCCCAAAGAAATGTTGATTTCTGTTGCTACCACTGGCACAATACACATGTTAGGTCTTTATTTTTCCATACTTATGGCTATGTGTGTGACAAGGTGTGCAGAGGGCCTTCCCTGTTGTCCAGAAGTGGGTGGCCAGAGCCTAAACAGAAGACAAAGAAGTATTGTGTCCACTTTCTAAAGAGAGGTGCCACAAAGGGCCATAGCCCTCCCTCAGGTCTCTGTAACCTCTAGCTAGCACCCCAGCCACACACCTGCCACCTCTAAAAGAAGACTGTTGGGGAAATCGGCAAGTAAGACACCTGGACCTGGTGGGAGTCCTCCAAGAGAATTCCCCACAAAGGCTGAGGTCCTGCAAGAAGAGAGGAGAGATGTTATCATCCCATTGAAACCAGCCTCCTATGACCGTGGGGCAGGTGGAGGGGAGCCTCAAGGAGGGCCCAGCGAGGGTGGGTGGGCCACAGTATGGTCTGTGCATCCATATCTAGTGTGGTTCCAGCATAGGCCTTTCCAGATGGTTGCATCACAGGGGCTCAGCCATTTGCTGCTTCCCCACCGAAGAGGCTGCTTCCTGGGCAGATGTACCTTAGCAATGAGAGTTCTGGGATGTGCAGGATGTGGTAGGGCTGGAAGGGTGCCCCCCAGATCTGGTTGTCCTGTGTTGGGACAGGAGCAGGGCCCTCAGAGTACTTGGTCATGTGTCCCTCCAGGGAGTCACGTGATTCCTCTACCACCCACCCTCAACCCCAGAGACTCAGGCCTAGGCCGTGGGGAGGAGGAGTGTTCCAGAGCCCGCCCTGCCCTCCAAATCCATGACCAAAAGCTTGGCCTGCCGGGGAGGCAAGATGGGATGAGGGGTACACTGCAGAAGAAACTGGAGACCCTTTCTGCCCTAGATTCCTAGAGGCACGGGGAAGAGCAGTGACTAGAGAGAAATAAAGCTGACTCCATAAGGTCAGCCCGGTCAGTCTGCCGGAAATCATGCAAACCTGTGTCCATGTCTGCATTTGTATCATGCATGTGTCTGCACAGACACATGATTGTGGTTCTTTATAAACGTTCATATTGCACCTGCCTCCGGCACTTCCTGGAAGCAGACTGCAGCAATGCCACAGACGTCTGCAGTAGACTGGGGGGCCCTACACAGACGGTGTGGCTATCCCTGTGTTCTGTATGTCTAGGCATTTTTCTGTGGTGTGGCACATAGTGGGGGGTAGGTTTGGGCTCTGGGGCCAGGCGCACCTGGATTTGGGACCTCTCATTAGTGGGTGACCTTGAGCCTTTTGTTTTTTCATTTGGAAAATGAGGATAATAATAGAAGTTGTTATGAGGATGCCATCAATGTGGTGATGGATAAACAGTGTAGTAAGCAGTTTCCCCACCTGGGCTTGAAGTTTCATTTCATTTCTTTTCTTTTCTCTTTTTTTCTTTTCTTTTCCTTTTCTTTTTAAGATTTGTTTATTTGAGAGACAGAGTGCAAGTGGTGGGAGGAGCAGAGGGAAAGGAGGAGAATCCTCAAGCAGAGTTCCCACTGTGTGTAGAGCCCAATGCAAGGCTTGATCCCAGGACCCTGAGATCATGACTTGAGCCAAAATCAAGAGTCAGGCGCTCAACCAACTCAGCCAGCCAGGTTCCCCTGGGTCTGAGACTTCTATGGCTCTGAAAGCCATTTTTGTGTGTGGTGAGGTAGGGGAGGGTATCTCTACCCTAGAACCTGATTGGATAGTTTGATGCTTCCTCACCTTACAGCCTCTCTCTGGCTACCAAATACCAGAGAGATTTGAATAAATGCAGAATAGTAACCCGACTAAATGTCTGTAACGGCCATGGCCCTGCCCTTGAGCCTCAAGGTTTCACACTCAGCTTCTGGCTGGTGTCCTACCAGCCTTGTCCTCTGTTCTTTGGTAGTGGCTCTCTGGCTCTGGGCCAGGACTATGTCCTCTCCTTTTGGCACCAACAAGAAAGGTGGAGTAGTCTCCCCAACCCTGACCCAGGCCAGCTCACTTGTTCCCCCCACACAGTGGCAATTCTGGGCGGGGGCCTTCCTGCCCACTGCTGTTCCTTCCAGGTGGATCCAGTCACCAGGCCTTAGGCGGGAG